ATTTTATGACTTAGAAAAATGACTTGATCTCATAGAATTTCAAAATTTTCCTTGCCAACATATGACTTTAATCTTACGTTTTTCTGAACCGCTTTATCCTCACAAGGGTCGCTGAGCGTGCTGGAGCCTATCCCAGCCATCTTTGGTCAGTAGGCGGGCCACACCCTGAACCGGTTGCCAGCCAATCGCAGGGCACACACAGACAAACAACCATCCGCGCTCACACCGAGGGACAATTTGGAGTGTTCATTCAGCCTGCCATGCATGTTTTTGGAATGTGGGAGGAAACCGGAGTACCCGGAGAAAACCCACGAGAACATGCAAACCCCACACAGGAAGGCCGGAGGCGGGATCGAACCCACGACCTCGGCACTGTGAGGTCGAAGCGTCAAGTTATATCGTTGTTTTTTTTCTCTCAAAGCAAAAATCCTTTTAAACATTTTTGGGAGGGGATGATGTAGCGAATAACTTTGACAAATGTTGAAATATTTGGAGATGGGAAATTTCTGATTTTCGTTGTTGGATTTTTTTTTTTTTTTTGGATGTCTTGACCCATTTTTACAATGCCAGTTAGGACATTTCCAACTTGGCAATTTCCCGAATTGCAGCAAAACAGTCCAAAAAAACCCCATAACTACCATTTCCACATCGGAGAGCGTCACAAAACTTGGCAAGCGTCGACACATCGTTCCTTGTCACAATCCAAAAAACATCTTTCGTCGGAGCTTGAGGATGTCGGGAATGCTGTGAAGTTTTTCTGAAGCCCCCCCGTTCTATCCAAAGCGATATTTGGGCCAGTACTTGACCTGTTTGGGCCGTGTCCCCTCCTGGACCTTTGCTTTGGGCGACAGCGGCTCGGGCGGCGTTTTTTTCCGCTTGTCGCCTTTCCCGTCCGTGACGGCGAATCCTCGTTCGCCGCGTCCGTAGCCGTCGTCGTCAAGTCTGGGCAGGAAGTGCGTGGAAACGTGCTGGGCTTTGACCCGAGGCCCGGAGCCCATCCTGGCTTTGCCTCGCTTGTTGAGGGCCACGAACCACTGGCGGCCGGTCCTGCGGTTCCAGTGGAGCACCGAGGCGTACGTGTTGTAGCTGTTCTCCTGGAAACGCTCGCGGAACTTGCAGTCGTCCGTAAATGACGTCTACGCAACAAGATCAAATCGCAGGCAATGAGATGAATAGAACAAAATTGTAATCATGTTTTTCAGAGGAAAAAAAAACACAACAACGTCACTTTTTGGGGAAGGAAAAAAAACAGCTAAACATGAAAAGATTAACCTGGCTTTTTTTTAGCTTCAATCTTGTACGATTAGGACTTTTCTTCCCCCATATATTCCTTTTATTTCTCATCCTCATATACATTTGTGTCTTGTTTTCACGCCATCTCCAAGGCAAACTCGTGCTAGCTGCCCTTTTGCTAAACGCTACAAAGTCAGGCAAAGACCACGTCACGATCGCCACATTTACGAGGGAGCGTCTGGAAGCTACCAGACACACTTGCAAACATTTCCCTTCTAATTAACCCGCATTAGGCAAATTATACCCAATCGTAAACAGAAGCTAATTGCTCGCCCTGAGCGTGCTAACCGCTAACACAAACCGCTAGAATCATCCCGCCACGCACTCGTGTTTGCTACTTGTTTGGAGGCTAAAAATAGCTCCAGTGGGAACCAAACCAAACCGCGGGTGTTCTTGCCGTTTTGGTGCCGGCGTTGCGAAACAAAACAAACGTTTGGCGCTCACGCGCAGCCAAGCGGAAACTGAAGCTCGGACGGCGGCGGAGAAACATGGCTGACGATATTACGGCGTTAAAGTCGTAGTTAGTTAGTTTATAAATAAATACATCCATAAAAAATTCATACCCTATTTTAATGAAGATATTCACCTACAATGACCGAAAAAAAAAAAGATGAGACTTTTTTTTTTTTAAAGGAAAGGACAAGGTCAAGCTGTCAAAAAGATTATATTGGAGCATTCACAACAAAATGTGACATTTTAGTTGAATGAGAGCGAGAGAGAAAGTTTGTTTTTTTTTTACACAAGAAAAATATCTTTGTTTTAGTCATAATGAAGGTTTTTTTTTTTTTTTTTTTTTTAAATCACAGCCTTAAAATTAGTTTTAGGAAGAAAATAATCCAGTATAAGAAAAACTTAGTTTTATAAAATTAGAAGATGAATGTCACATTTTTGACTTTGGGGTTAAAAAAAAAAAAAAAAAAAAAAAATCAAGCAGTGGTGGCATTCCATGAAATGTGTCCAAGCGGAGTTGCCGTCCAAATTCCCTTTTGTTTTCAACACCACCGATGACGTTGAATCGGCAACGACTAAACCACTTGAATTCATGTCAATTTGTGACCAGACCTTTGAAGTGGCCGCTGGGCTCCCGGCTGACGGGATTTGCTGCTATAAAAGCGGGATCCTCGTAAGGGCTCCTGGGGGGCCTCCCTCTAATCGTCTTTACTGGCTGTGTATTGACTTCCATTTTAGCCGCGCCTTATCAAACATCCCAGACAGCCCTTAATCTTTCTTGCCCGCTAGTACAAGCTAACTGGGGGACCGCTCGCCGGACAATATTCCCGCCGCTATCCTATGCTAAGCTACGTTACTCTACATGAGGTTTGAAGCCAAATATAGAATCATAAACTTTCGTCAATTCAATGCGATAATTCCGCTTTTAAAACACTTTTCTTGAATTTGCTGGTATGTTTTTAAAATGTGGCTTGAAGCCTGGGTAGCACTTCCAAAGCAGGATTAGGGTTCCAAAATAGGGTTTCAAGCCATAAACAGCACACAATGTGTTTCCAGCAAATCACGGAGGACGGGCTCCAAAATAAAAATGCAAATTCGCGAATGCCAAAGCGAGAATATATGAGCGGAGTTTGCTGTAATTAGCCGATGTAGCATGTTAGCATAGCATTGTGATAGCACTCACAGTGGCATGGAGGCGTCCTTTCTTATTCATGGCCAGGAATCTGTCACTGTACACTCCTCGGATGCCAATCACGCCCTGGGACACGGCAAATAGCTCCAGAACACCTGCAATCACAAACGATTGATTCGTTGATTGATCGACTGAGTGACTGAGTCACTTTTTTTATTTCTAGAAAGACCAACAAATCTTGCTCTGGAAACAGCTTCCTGTTTCCTCTCCATTTCAAACGGTGAGGAGTTTTGCTTTATTTTAGTTTCGTGACATCGATGAAGGACTTTTGACACTTGTATGCCAAGATACCGAGTCCCGATATCGCTTGCCTTTTCAGGCAAGGGTTTTCATCAAGGGCTTGGATCCCAAATTGAGGTTTCGGGACATAGTTAGGTGTCATGCTGCAAGCTGTGATTAAGGCTTCAAAGTAAGTTTTTCGGCCAGGATTCAAGAGATTCAAACCATTTGGGTTCCAAACTTTTTTTTTTTTGCGTTTCAAAGTCTCGGTCTCGAGACTGGATTCGGGTGAGTTTCAAACTCGGGTCGGAATTGAAAAATCGAAACCCACTTTGAAGTGAGTTTCGTCATTGAGCTTCAAGTCTGAAGTACGTTTCACCTCGTGCAGTGAAACAAAACAAAACAAAAGCCGTGGGCGCATGTCACGCCAATAGTTGCGCGTAACACGCCGACGACGCAAGGGACTCGCACGTCCACTCACTCAGACGGTCGGCCTCGTGGCTGCCGTTGACTCTGCCGTCCGGGTGGATCTGGAGGTGGAAGCCGATGCCCACCCTGCAGTAGAGCCGGCAAGTCCTGCGCCCCGAACGGGTCTCCTGCTCCTCCTCCCGCCGCCGCCGCCGCTGCTCCTCCTCCTCCGTCTCCTGACCCGCCGCGGCCGGGCGACGCGCCGCGGCCACCAAGTGCGCGACGGTGAGCAGGTAAAACAGCGGGACGTTCATGCTCGACCACCCGCCAGTCGAAGCCCTCGCATTCCCGGCTGAAATCCTACACGCGCGGGCGCACGCACGCGCGCGCACGCACACTTGCCGAGCCGACAGCGGATATTTATACCGCCGATGATCTCACCGCTCCGGGCATGCCTCCGATCGCGACCGCCGCCGGCGGCCGCCGGAGCGCCGCGCGTGCAAAGCTTCCCGCGCGCCAGTTCGGGACGCACGGAGCGCGCGTTTTACGCACGCGCCGGTGGGGAAGCGACGAGACCCTGCGTACGCGTCGCTCTCCAGTTCATCCGTGTGACGTGTTTACTCTAAATTGGACGCTGCAACCACTGCGCATTTCAGGTGCGAAGCACTTCTCAGAAAAGCTCCTTGACTTTACCGGTAGCTTTCAGAGATGCACAATGGACGCATGGACAGGAAACAACCTTACACGACTCAGCTTTAAATCCCAGGAAAAAAAAAAATCTTCAAGCATTGCTCAGTCCCGACAGTGAACGAGCGTAAAGACGTCATGGTCACGTGGATACGCGGACTCCATACAACGTAGATGAGAAGCAGCTCTCAGAAACTGTCGTGTTTGGAATCGCAGCGTTTTAGGCATACCTGTGGACCGCCCAGTCCGGCAGCCCTGGTTCTGCGATTGTCATTTCGAGGCAATGTTCCCTCTAAGCGGCGTGCTTGAGCAAGTGCACACCTTTCTCAACCTCTTGGCGCAGGTGATGACACCGGCGAGAACCACGCACGTTACATTTCGACACCCATTCCTTTATTTCCACCCAAGCTACAAACTGGACACCACACCATTCCCACTTCCCTTGCAGTTTCAGTGGCACGACTGAGGGTGCCCACTCAGTTCTTCTTCCATGGTTTGACACATACGTTGACACACACACACACACACACATTTTCAAATGATCGCCAACATCCCGAGAAAATAATCTGCCATCACATTTTTTGAACAGGCCATCAGGCTACTCATCTTTTCCTTGGTGGGGGGCTACCTGGTGCCCTCGAGCACCGCGTTGGTGACCCCTGATGTCACGTGTTGTGATCTGATCTTTTGCACAGGTGTGATCCTAGTTTGGCCGTCATGTCGATGTCTCACGTTGCTCACGGTGAACGCTCAAGAGTTTGTGTGAATGCTCGGACGCGTGGAAAATGAGAGGGAACATTGTTGAGCGGTAGCATGCATCGCCGGTGGGAAGCAGTTAATAAAAAGAACGTGACAAACCACACAGAGTGACAGCTCACATGAAAACCAGCAACGAATGCGTTCTCGATCCGCCATTGCTGACCCAATCTGACCTTGTTTGATGATGTCATCTCCCCAAAACTTGATTTTGTGACCTTGGGAAACCAAAGACCATCATGCAGTGTCACAAGTTCTTCAAAGTGGGTCACACCAGCGCTTTCACTGTTGTCAGCCAAGTTTCAATCCCCCACCCCCTGTGGTGGATTACAAAGCTAAACTAATTGTCCGCGGCCAGCTGAGCTTGGGTCGGGCTGGGCCGGCATCGCCCGCTATGTAAACAGCGCGCCACTGTTCCTAATGTAGCGCCATTCCGCTAGCCCCGAGGCTAATCCCACCCCGGTCGTGTAAACAAGAAGGGGCGTCCCCGCTTGAGCCCGTCTTTTAACACCCGCGCTGGCCTGTTCTGCATCCGAGCCCCGCGATGATCATCATGCTGCATTTGACTTTTTCTTTGGCTTTTTAGGCGTTGCAGGAGGCTCATGAAGAATCTTGTCCAATCACATGAAATTGATTGAGCGGCTCGTAGCATCTCCCCCGCTCTGTCTTATTTATAAAAAGCCTCATCGTCTGAGGATCGTCAAAGGAAACAGGTGTGACATCAATCTCCCTCCGGCTTCCCACGCCACGCCAGGAATTCCGGAGCGGGAAGTGAAGCGAAGACAGGTAGCGTTGCCACCACTCGGCCATGATGGCCACATCTGTGAGTGAGCGACAGTTCAGTCTATAAATAGAACATGGCCGCTCTTATTTTATTACATTGGAGAGAGATAACATCGTGCATTTCAATCAATCAGAAAAAAACTCAAGAAACATTGTCAACACACCCCTATTCAAATTCCAAGATTTTTGTGATGTAAAAATATGACTCATGCAACTCTGATAAACCACCATCCGCACTTTTGAGAGTGTTCAATCAGCCTGCCATGCATGTTTTTGGAATGTGGGAGGAAACCGGAGTACCCGGAGAAAACCCACGCAGGCCCGGGGAGAACATGCAAACTGCACACAGGAAGGCCCGACCCAGCCCAGAAATGAACCCGTTGTGGAATATGAATTAGGCAGCAAAATGTGGCCATATTGATCCATCTCAAAGGGGGCGGCCATTTTGTCACTTGCTGTCCACTGAAAATGACCTGGCATTTGCTCGGGGCTCAGGTAATGACCAAACGTCACTCAGCTGGTTTCTGATTTTGCTCATGTGACATTTCCCAACTGAACAACAAATGCTGATCGTGAAAAATACTTTCATACTATGACATCACGGTCTGACAGCATGACTGTATTGTGTGACATTAGCGTGACATCATAGCACAACATATTTTACTGTAAAAACGGGACCACATAGCAGGACGCTTAACCGGTATAAATGTGTGTGCGTTGTCGCAGGTGTTGTATTTTTGGGTCCGGCAACCTGCTGGAGTGGAGCCGTTGGGCCGCGTCAGCACAGTGGGTGGGTTGGGGGGTGGGAGTGGGGGGGTGGTAAAAATGTAGCGTGAGCGGCCAGGGCCAGGGGCCAAATGGAAGTGCCAGCTTAGCACAGATAGAACGTGTCCTCGCGTTGGCGTGCCGAGGACGGACCATGACACAAGCCACAAAGCACGAGGTCACCAAATATCACCCAGCCGTGCGTGCTTGTGGGTGCGTCTACTTGAGGCTGCGACTTGGGAGATTGTGTGTTTGCATGTGAGTGTGCATATGTAATTGCATGTGTAAGGTCAGTAACATATATATATATAAAGCACACATAAATTATAAATACCCAAATTATACCAACTTGCACATACTAGTTTGTATATTGGAAACCTCCAGGCGCCTTGCTGTACTTCCTTTTCTTTCCACATGAGGACGCTGCTGATCTGTTTTTTCCCCGTGCTGAGCTCGCCACGAACGTCGGACACTTTGATGCCTCCTAAATGGATGAAAATGTTTTTTTCTTTACGTGTCTGAACGCTGTTTTTATATAGTACATATAAAAAATAAAAGATGTTTATGGTGTCGTTTATCATAAGTACAGGGTACGACCTTGCGTTTCTTTATAATGTGAAAAATAAATTGTGTCCTAAGCTTCAGGTTTGATTATATTACATTTTTCGCTGTAAATAAGATTCGAAATGTTTAATGTTCCACTGCGCAACCTGCATATTGCATTATTTTTACGAATGTGTAATATAATAAACCTGTTTAATAGTGTAATAAAGACATGTTTCACTCGCAGAATATTTCATGATAAATGACGGTCTTTGTATGCGATTAAAAAAAAAAACGACTTTTTTATGATACCTACGCATGCCTCATTTAGAGATGCTGAATGTTTGGTTACATTTTCAACGAAGAGTTCACTGTATCTTTAGACGTAAAATTACTGTACGATTATGATCACCTTTAATATATGTTTATTTTTGTATATTTAATATTTTGTATATTTTGTATATTTAATATTATCTATAAATTATGATGCCATAATCATTTGGAATACATTGAGTGATACATAATTTGTAACTATAATGACATTGAATTAAATATGTATTTCTGTTATCATTTTTTTCCCTCAGTATTTTTCACGAATAAAAAACAGTAAATGAGTGTTGCAGCAACTTGTAGTATCGAATCGTTTTCCTCGACATACATGTCTCAAAATGCTTGAAGCTGTGGCTGTATCATCATTACAATTAATTGTATATAATGAACCATTAGAATCCAATGTAGCATTTTTTTTAATTAGTCCTGTCGACGTGCAGTATAATTAGCTCTATAATTATACATCTACAGGCAACAAGCATTTCCTGATTTTCGTCATTATGATTTTAATGGTTAACGATCTGTGCGTAATAAGTCAGAAGGGTTAGGGTGGAAGGTGTCATAATTAAACAGAATTTCTATTCCTTTGTGTTTTAAAAAAAATGAAAAAAAAAAATACATAAATTCGTAAAGAGGACAAAAGAGCGGAGTGCCATTTGAAAATAAAGCTATTTTTTTTATTGTCATTGCATTCAACATGATTAGATCAACTGTCATACGTAGTAAATTTTCCCGGCAAACGGAAATGAAACACCGAAATCCCCGCCCCCCCCGCCCCCCCCACACGGACACAAAATATGCTTATTATCAAGATTAATATCATTATCACACTCTGTATTTCAAATCAGAAGCCTTGGTATTTACCCATGGTCTGCATGTGGCGTGGATAAGATTTGTCGTCGTCGTCGTCGTGCATGCACCCACTCGCACACGTGGTGTCGATATTCGTGTAGGATAGAAAATACAACTCACTGTACATTTACACATATTTCCATCTTCCCTTAGTAGACGTGTAAGTGCTTCATAAATAGATTCATATTAAACGGGACATTTGGGTTTTTTTTTTTTTTTTAAAAAGGAGCCTTCCAGAAAAGGAGTGCAAAGGGGGGTGGGGGGTCGGCGGGGTCGGCCAGGGTCGCCATGAGGAGGGTGGTGAAGTCAGTGATGATGACGCGAAGGCAGTGGTTCTCAAATTGGAGTACCCCGACGCAACCCCGACTTGGGTTAGCTTCAGTCAGCAAATTCATATGCAGCAGCCCCCAAAAAACAGACATGCTCAACGAATTACCATAACGTCTTCCGCTAACAACCCGGGCTAAATTTAGCTCCCCCTTGCGAGCTCGCAAATTTGTACTAGAAGACTTTTGAAATTTCTTTTAGCAGCATGAAATTTGGTAGACACGCGTACCATGAGGAGAGATGCCAAAAATAGCCATGACGGAAAAGTGTGCCTGCCGTATTTTAGGCCATTTTTGACTGCTGCCAGACAGTTTTTGACAATTCACCGCCTAAAACTTGTTTCAATAAATGATTTAGGGTAGGCGTGTCTTTCGCGAATTGATACACATAAAAAATGTCTCAAGGAGCCACGACTGACCAGGCACAGGAAATTTGCCAATTCGCTTTTTAGTTCCCATCTCCAAGAGATAGTTCCAAATACTCAAGCCCCTGAAACTGAAGCCAATTTGTTTTTGCTGTGTCGTCACATATTTGAAAGCGAATCAAGAAAGCAAAGCGGAAAAAACAGAGCAACCAAATGGCTACGTTGGCAGCGTTGAATGCGCTTTGGTGCGTATCGGCTAGCAGCGATGGCTAAATATCACATTTAGGTATTTGTGTCGGGTTGTTCGGGAAAGAAGTTACAAAAAGTCTTTGCTGCACGTACAAACGCACACACTTTGGGTGCTTGTTTTTTTCCAATCAAATCAGATCGCCGGTCATTTTTACTTCACGGAAAAACCTCTCGCCTGTACCCCAAAAGTTTGAGAACCTCTCCTCTTAGGGCACATAACTGACAGGGGGCCATTGCAGATCTGAGGGTTGTTGTTGTTGTTGTTTATTTTTTCGCGGCATCGAAGCGTCGGCAGAGCCCCCCTCCCCAATCCCTGACGGCTCCCTGGCGTCGGGTCCCGGGCCCCTGAGTCAGTTGTGTGAGGTCATGTGACGAGATAGGTGGTGGCGCTCTCGGAAGGACTCGTTACAGATGGGACACTTGAGCTTCTCCTCGCGCCGCCGCTTGACCAGGGGCTCCATGGCGTACTCCTTCTTGTGGTGCGAGCGCATGTGGTACACCAGGTCCGAGGTCATGCGGAAGGAGGCGTTGCACTTGGCGCACCAGTTCTGGGCCGGCAGGCACAGGGACGTGAAGGAGGGCGGCAGCAGCGTGAGCGCCGAGGGCATCTGCAGCTGGACGCCGCCCGAGTTCTTGGGCCAGAAGGTGGCGGCGGCGGCGGCGGCGGCGTACACGAAGGGGCTCTGCTTGGCCACGCCGCCCGGCACGGGGCAGTTGGCGCCCAGCTCGGCGCCCTGCAGCTTGGCGGCCAGGGGGTCGGCCTGGTAGAGGCGAGGGGGCGC